TCTCTGGGCAGGTCTAAAAGACACAGAGAGGATTTCATAGTCTGTGGTACGCGTTTGTTCGTGGATCTTAAAGTGTGTCGCTCATTTGTTGTGTACAAAAGAGCACAAACCTGCTCCAACTGACTTTCAGGATGTAATAATGTCTCTGTCAGCTCTAATCATTGTATAGCCATTTGAAGAAATGCATTCTCTTAACCAAGCTTCTGTAAAAGAACAGATGACTTTGCCTAAAGTCTCTGTCATAGTTCATTTTTTACTGCTAATTTATCCATTGTGTATTACTTTTAATACTTTCACCAAAATAACCACAAAAGCACTAATTGACTAAACTTGTTAACTTTAATTTTGTCATTAATTGTTGTTATTCAGTGAGATTAATGTTTGCACAAGGAGTCTAAAAACAGCCAGTGCTCCACAGAGAGATGTGATCATATCACAGCTTTTGTTTTAATTATTAAAATGATGTAAAAACACAAAGCATTAAATATGTTCTATAAAATGATTTTACTCAACCTCTTTCTTGACACCAGAAAGCAGATACCATGTTTAAGGCATAGTTCACCTGTTATTTTACTCTAATCTGTACGCATTTTATGATAATTTCTATCAAAACCCGATATGCAAAGTAGACTGTAAAAAAAAGTTGGGTCAACTTAAAACTTTAAGGCAACGGACTTCAGGATTTATGAGTTGACTCAACTTTTAACCCATTTACTGCACTTGTCTTGATTTGTTAAGTAGACTCAAAAATGTCCTATTTAAGTTAGTTTATTGCCCTAAAATTTTAAGTTGCCCTAACCATTTTTTACAGTGTAGTAAACTGCAGTGCACATGTGAGTCTAACAAGTGCAAACATATTTTGTTACATGAATAATTTAAATTATGTTGAAAACAGAGATGTGTTTCTTAACATTTTAAATGTTCCACATGCTAGTTTTGTTGAGTGACTTAGGTGGCATATTACATCTAAGCAGCTGTTGCTAGTAGGGTGAAAAGTGGTGACAATCATGGGGGACCCCACTGCCCATGAGGGCTCCACAAAATCCAGCAGGTCTTCTTCTGTGAAAATTTCTAATATATTTATTAGTTGTATGGCAGACACTTTAATGAAAGCCATAGAAACATGTAATGTGATGAAATAAGTATTCCAAATTTCTTCCAAATGATTAAAATGAAATGCAGCATGCAAAATCAAAAATTAAGGTACCAGAAACACATGCAATGAAAAGAAAGAGAGGAGAGCTGCTGTTTCCCAGTTGATCAAGGCTTTCTTAATGACCGGTGAGTGATGCAGTGATTTTGCTGTTGGATATACTTTTTTCCTATTACTGACATGCACTGTTATAGACTACACTGCATAGAAAGAAAACAAAACAAAAAAGCATTGGACACAACTACATTCTCACCTTTAAAAAGTCTCAAAAGTACTTTATGGGCTTCAACGCCTTGTCAAACTATAGTGAGTTTAGTCATTTAATCCTATAGTTTAGAGTGAACATGGGTGAAGTGGCAGAAAAAGTTCTTTAAATTACAAGTGCACATATGCTGTAAACAATTTGTATGTATCAAATAACTGTAAATGTATGTACAATACTAATATAATAATTTACTTTACAAATAATTTTATTTAATAATCTAATTTACTTTAATAGCATAACATACAATACGTCATACACAGGGCCGGAGCAAGCTGAACTGCCGCTCTAGGCAAAGGACGGTCACGCCGCCCTCAAACCTAAAGTGAAACCGCCCTAGACGCGGCTAAACTGAGGCGCGGGTGGCGACTGGGTATAGGGGACGCCACCCTCTCTATTCTGCCAC